GGTTCTGCAGGGGGAGGGGCTTCTCCAGGTGTGGTTCTGCAGGGGGAGGGGCTTCTCCAGGTGTGGTTCTGCAGGGGATGGGCTTCTCCAGGTGTGGTTCTGCAGGGGGAGGGGCTTCTCCAGGTGCGGTTCTGCAGGGGATGGGCTTCTCCAGGTGTGGTTCTGCAGGGGGAGATGCTTCTCCAGGTGTGGTTCTGTAAGGGCTCAGGACAGCTGTCTAGGGAGGGCTGCTTCCCTGTAACAGTTCTTTGGCTGGGTGGTCATCCTCAGAGAAGGCCCCCACTCCTAAGGGACCCCCAGTTCATCACTCATTCCCGTGGTGAGGGTTCCGCCATCCAGGGGCTTCTCCTGGGCCTTCCACCTCAGAATCAGATTTTCTTGGGCCCCAGTCAGCCTTAGGATCACCAATCCCCCGCCTCACAAGGGGAGGCAGGAACACCCCAGGCTGGTGCCCAGGGGTGGGTCCAGTTCATGGTTCATCAGTCATGTGCCCTGGATAGCCAGAGCCCTCTCTGGGCCTCGGTGCCCTGTTGTAAACAGGAAAGGGGCCTAAGAAGCCGGTGTGTGACTGGGTTCTCAGTGCATTGATGGTGACAACACTGTCCTCCTTACCAGATGACCCACCCAGACTTTTCTGCACACACCCACCCTCTGTCAAGGTCCCCGGCCTGCAGGCCCCATCCCTCTCAGGAGGGCTCAGGTCCCCATGCTCACTCGGGCCTCAGTCTGGCTGCTGGGCTCCCTACCGCATTCTGGGTGGGCAGTGCCAGTCTCTGGGCCTGCACCTCCTGCTCAATTCATGTCATGACCGTGGGACTCCAAGCAGAAGCCAGAACCTTCCAGAAGTTCAAAGGTGAGCCCTGCTGTCCAGCTCCGCCAAGTTCAGGGGCCTGCCCAGGACGCCCATCCACCTCGGGGCCCGTGTTCTGCGCAGAGCACCACGGCAAGTTAAAAGTTTTATTGATTGAACACAATTGAGTGTAAGTAGTAAAAGTTCTCCTGATGTAACCCACTTTTTCTTAATGGGTAATCCCAGACACTCGAGTTTGTATGGTAAAGGAGGTTTAGGACAATTTAATAGCTCATAAAATTTTATAGTCCCAGTTGAAATCAGAGTGCTAACTCCGGCCCGTTCAGCTATAGAGCTGTCGTTTGCTAAATGCCTCTCATCTGTTTTTTCCCCCCATTTATTGGAAAGTTAACATCTGCTTTGCTATGATCGGCGGGGGAGGGAGGTCGGGAGGAAGGAAAAAAACATGATCTATTTTTCCAGGAGAGAGGTAAGAGATTCGGGCTCTCCTGGCAGCACACGATTTTCCTTTAAGTCAGAAAGAGGTTCAGTAAACTGGGGCTGACCCAGAGTTCACCGAACTCCACAGCAGGCGCCGGTCCCCCACGGTGGCTGCTGAGAGATTTGAGTCTATCCAGGCCAAGGCCACGTCCGGGGATCAGCCAGAATCTGGTAGAGTCCATTAACAGTCATTCCCTAGTAATTTATGAAACACCTACTGTGTGCGTGGTCGGGGGCGGGGAGAGGTGCAAAGAAATAGGACACAAGCTCACCAGCTCCCGAGGAACTTACCATCGGAAGCTAACATTTCAGAAACAAAGGGGACAAGGACTCCAGGAAGAGGCTGGGGCCCCAGGGCTGTGTAAAATGCAGCCGGATGGAAGTAACAGAGCCTGGGGTTCTGGCTGCCATGCTCACCAGCAAGGCCCTGACCTTGGAGAGCTTCAGTGTCCTTGTCTTTCAAATGAGAACCACACTGGCGCCTACATCATAGGGTCAGCGTGAGGATAAAATAAAGTATGGAAAACAGCCGGTAGCTGGAACTTGAGACATGTTACCAAAAAGAGAGAGATTGAGAAAAACAGTTTGGCAGTTCCTGAAAAAGTTAGACATAGAATCAGCCTAGCACCCAGCGTGCCACCCCTAGGGTTACAGTATGCCCGCCCAGGAAAATTGAAAACTGGCACCCAGGCAGCTCCACATACACACAGGTTCACAGCAGCGCCATTCACCGCCGCCAAGAGATGGAAACATCCAGAGGCTCTTCCCCGGATGAAGGATAAACAGAATATGGCCCATCCTCATTCCTGCAATGGAATTCGATTCAGCCATGAGAAGGAGCGAGGCACTGACACAGGCCACAACGGGGATGAACCCTAGAAACACCATGCTCAGTGAAAGACACCAGAGATGAAAGGCCAATCCGGTGTGATTCCATTTACACAAAATAACCAGAACAAGTAAATTCTTGGAGACAGAAAGCAGGCCAGGTGCCGTGTGGCTCACGCCTGTAATCCCAGCACTTTGGAAAGCCAAGGCAAGCAGATCACTTGAGCTCAGGAGTTTGCGAATAGCCTGGGCGACATGGCAAAATCCATCTCCACAAATACAAAAGAATTAGCCACACGTGGTGGCGTGTGTCTGTGCTCCCAGCTACTCAAGAGGCTGAGGTGGGAGGATCGCTGGAGCCCAGGAGGTCGAGGCTGCAGTGAGCCAAGATTGCACCACTGTATTCCAGCCTAGGTGACAGAGTGAGATGCTGTCAGGAAAGGAAAGGAGAGGAGAGTAGAGGAGATGAGAGGGGAGGAGAGGGGAAGGGATGGGAAAGGAGGAGAGGGGAGGGGAAGGGAGGGGAGGGTGGTGGTGGCGGGACTCCTGTAGTGTTCCACTCTCATCCCAAACCCACCAGTCTGCCGCCCTCCCCTCCCCTGACCACTCCCTCTGCCTCCTCCTCCTCCTGCCCTCCATCCCTCCCTCCTTTCCCTGCTTCCCGTTCCTGCCTTCCATCCTCCTCTCTCTACCCTCCCTCTCCCCTCCCTCATCTCCCTCCCTTCCCCCCTCACCCTACCCTCCTCCCCTCCCCTCTTCCCTCCCTCAACCTCCTCTTGCCCTCCTCCTCACCTCCCTTCCCCTGCCTTCCGTCTCTCACCCTTCTCCTCCCCGTCTCCTCCATC